TGATCCCGTGGGACCTAGACATGGTGCGGCTGGGTTGGTCGCGTCAGGGTCTCTGGGGTGTTTGCTGCCAGGCGGCAGCCATTTCTTGAGGCGTCCTCTTCCGTGTCTCGAGTCCGAGGCTCCCGCCGCAGCTATTGAGCCGTCAAAGGAGTTTTCCAAAATGCCTCTGAGTAGATAAGCCAGCAGGGTTTGTTGTGTTCGACATTACTTGGTGATTTACGGAATCTTCATGCTTCGAACGCAATACTGTAGCCACTCCAAGGTCTATTCTGATGCCAATCCACGCCGGCATGCCTTGGCGCCATGAACGGAATCCACTCCTCGAAAAGCAACATCGTGCTTCGGACGCCTTCTTGGAGTCACGGCGATGGGAGCCCGACGAGTTCTTCTATCCCCATCATTCGCTGGAACACCAATAACGAGGCCTTCCGACGTTTCTCCGAAGACGCGACGGAGGACGACATCCAAGTGACCGAGTCGACATTCAAGTAGGTCAAACACCAAGCCGGCAGCCGTCATCGCTCCGGCGATCTTGGCCCTTCCGCCGGGATCCGCTGGTGGCTTGGCGGTCTCAAGGGAAGCGCGTGCTAAAAAAGTGCCCAGAAAGGCCGAGACAGCTTACAAGAAGGCCGTGAGGTCCCTCGAGTTATATCTCAACAAGGAAGATGCAGCCGTCGTCATAGCCAAGGGCAGGGATGGCAAAGAGGTTGATGCCAAGGGGGAACTGCACCAGGTCATTCGGGCCATCCAAAGGACTAAAGAGTCGGAGCTAGACGAGGCGAAGACGAAGAAGTTCATCAAGTGTCTAGACCATTACCAAGGCGTTTTCGATATTCTGTCGCAAGCTGAATTCTCGGGCCTGCCGCTGATCTGGGGTGGTCTGAAGTTCATCCTCCTGGTAAGGCTCCTCGGACCTCGGTGGGAGGGCGACACGCTGACGACCATTTGCAGGTGACGAAAAACAACAGCGATGTTCTACCCAAGGTGATTGATGTGATGATCGACATTGGCCGGAATCTCGAGAGGATACGGGGATACGCGGCCTTATATCCAACCCCGCGGATGTTAGAATTCACGGCCGAACTCTACGCTGCGATTGTGGAGTTTTTGGAAAAGGTCATCAAAGATGCGAAGAATGCAGAAAAGAACATCCTCAGTAAGGGGCACGGCGCTCGCACCCTGGCGGGCTTGCGCTAACCAAAGATTAGAGCGGGCGATGTCGACTTTTCTCCAACCCTTTGAGGTCCGATACGGCGACCTACTGTCCAAGATGAGGAACACCCTCATGCACATCCGCGAAGACGCGGAGCTGTGTCTCCATGTACGCCAGGCTATGGCAAGCCACGCGATAGACAGATACCGGACGGTGCTGCCTCTGCAAAGACATCAGATGCATCAAGCCTTCAAGTGTATGTGAACAGACTCGAGACGGCCGAAAGACTGCTAACGTTTTACTGCAGCCGTTGCCGACAACCCGACCGCGGACGTGTTCCAAGCAATACGGAAGAACCTCTTCAGAAAGTTCGAGGTTCAAGCGGGGTTCCACCAAGAGCTGCAAGCCACGTACGAAGTCACGACATCCAAAGAGTGGTTCGAGTGGTTCAAGATGGAGCAGAGATACGTGCCGTCAGGGTATTCCCACAAGACGAGGGTCGTGCAGGCGTTGTGCGACGCCCCGGACCCCCAGCACGCGCTGGTGTGGAAGAAGCAACAGCGCAAGTTCGCCTCCCACGTCCCGTCGGCCTACCTGATCTGGACTCGCGGCATGACGGCACAGTCCGCTATCGCCTCCCTCGTGGACCAGATCCTGGTCCAGAAGACGGAAGTCATGGCCGACGCGGGCATCGAGATGGACCAGTTCAGGGAGGCCAACAACAGTGTCAAGTCGCTGTGGAACTTCTTCCTCTACCTGACGACGGTCCTGGGCGGGTGCATGGTGTACATCACCATCGGATCCGTGGGCGACCACGAGTCCGGAATCGTGCGCAAGTTTATCAGCATGGCCGAGACGTGGAAGGGCCCGCCCATCAACGTGACGATGATCCACCCGTTCCACGAGAGCTTCGCGCGGACGGACGACGTCGTCAACCTCGACGACAAGTACGACGTCCACCCGTCGCTCACGACGACTGACGCCATGCACCACGTGCTCCTGCTGGAGGTCAACACGGCCAGGAGGGTCTCGGACACGATCCAGAACCTCTTGTGGGAGACGGCGTGGCGCGAGGTGCGGTACGCCGTGATCGGCATCGCGCTCACGCAGGTGTTTGAGCACATAGACGTCGCGGCCAAAAAGGCCGCCCGGGAGGCGTCCGCGGCCGGCGCGTCCCTGACTGAGGCGGCCTACTGCGAGCACTGGGAAGCTGCCGTGGCTAAGTGGACCTCAAACGAGTCGTGGATCAACATCCTGCGGGAGCAGATCCAGCGGCACATTGACATTGTCGACATCCACCTGCCCCCGGACAGGAAGAAGTACCTAGAGGGCAAGTTGGAACTTCTGGTGTTCGAAGAGGAAGGAGAGCTCGGCTCGAAGCTGTCCACGTCGCAGAGGGCGCGCATCTGGGAGAACCTGCAAGAAGCCATCCGGCCTGGCACGGGCAAGATGTTTTGCAACAAGATAGAAGAGCTGCTGCGGGCCTTGCTGGAAGACTACCGCAACGCGAGCTCGGGGACGGAGGGGGGCCCCGAGGGCATGCCGTACCCCATCGTCAATGCGTATTTCGGGCAAAACGGGCGGTGGAAGGACTCGTTCTCCGAGGACCAGGACCTGGTGGCGGACGGGATCATGAACGCGATTGAGATTGGGTTCAAGGATTTGATTCAGGCGCTGGCGCCCCGGGACGATTCGGCGTGAACGTCTTGGGTTTCTTTGCGCACTAGTCGACGGTGTAATGAGGATGTAGGGAAGCGTAAGATATTTATGAGATTATCATTGTTATTATCATCATCGTCATCATCATCATCGTTCACCCTAGCACCATGCGTAGTACTCGTTGTCCTCCCACACGAGCTCGCCCTCGCCCTTCCACCGCAGACTCGGGATGCTCCCGTCGGATCTCTCGTCAAAGACGACCCTGACGGCGCCCTCGGTCCGATCGCTGACCCTCTTGGCCGAAGCCGAGACGCCGTCATCCGGGTTCCACACCAGGACCTTGGCGAGCCCCCAGTCGGCGGCCTCCAGCACCGCGGCGTGGAGCAGCGCGGTGACGTCGGCGTCGGCGTCGCCGCCGATCCGGAGGACCTTGAGCTTGTTCTCGCGGAAGTCGTGGTCCCAGTACACCCACGCCTTGCCGTCGGCGGTGGCGGCCCCGCGGCGCACGACGTCGCGGCCGACGAGCTCCTTGGCCATGAAGGCGTCGCGCGTGAAGTGCCACATCATCTGGTCGCCCGACGGCGCGAAGGCGACGTGCGTCTTGCCGTCGTCGGGCAGGCCGGCGAGCTTCTTCCGCAGGAGCTCGACGTCCCTGTCGCAGAAGGCGGGGACGTCGTCGGCCGTGAGGTACCTCAGGTCCTGAGGCGGGCGCAGCACGGAGGCGTCGTCCGGGATGAGCGAGACTTGAAGGGACGGGTAGACGGCCCAGCCCATGCGGGAGTAGTAGATGGTGCCGATGTCGCTGTAGAGGGCGCTCGCCTTGGAGTCGGCGTCCATGGCGTCCTTGACGCCGCTAAGGAGGCGCGTGGCCATGCCGTGGTTGCGGTGGGTGGGGTTCGTGTAGACGGAGGCGATGCCGTACGTCTTCTCCTCGCGGACGGCCGGCGAGGAGGCGTCGCGGACGAGGAGGGTCTTGGCGAACGCTTCGCAGGAGGAGATGATGTGTTCCGGCTCCGCGGGGTCAACAAGGACCCAATAGGTACACCTCGACCCGAGTGCCGTCTTGGAGAGGGCGAGTTCACGGGAGAGGTAGGCCTCGATGGACATTGGAGGGGCCCATGAGGCGCCGTTGAGAAGCCATGAGGCCTCGCGCTGGCCGGGGTTCGCCGGGAAGAGCTTGACGTTCTCTTCCGATGCGTGCTGCGTCGTGATGAGATCGGACATGTTGAGGGAGCGAGGCTCGGCAGCGATGGACGGTTAAGTGAGCCGGAGTGATAAGAAGAGAGTGAGGAACAATTGGAGATCCGGAGTCGGTTCTAGGTTGGCGATGTAAGTTTGCAGAAGCGGCTCGGTATATCTGCGTTTCAGCTAGGACGGACGCTCAACACTCAGACTGCAAGATGTCGTCCGGGAGCTTGGCTTTTGAAGATTTTTTGTTTCCTTTTTTTCTTTTTCGCAGTATGAGGCAATTGCTACCAAACTAGGCAAGTGGGTGCAGGCCAAGCCGAGCTGAAGTCGATAGGCATCTCATGTGGCAGATTCGCGGGCTGTTTCGGTAGCTTAGAGCTGAGAGGGAGGCCGGGGGGCACCTCTCGTAGCGGGGATGCTGACCCCTCCCCCCCCCCCCCAAAAAAAAAACCCCCCACTTTGATAGCGCTCCTAGAGGGGAGCCAACCCCAGCCAGGCCCGTTTAGGGACACGCCCTGGCTCTCAGATGGGGGGTCCCACCACCTCAGCAACTGCGCAGAATCCGCCCCTGTCACAACGGTCCCGCGCGACGGGCGAAGCCATACTAGTGTACGGAGTACTTAGGTAGGATAAGCGGAAGAAAAAAAAAAAAAAAAACCTCCTCACTCCTCACCCACTCGCTGCATTCGTGCGCTTGTCTGGTCTTCACAGAAGCCTTGCTTTATGGACATGTTGAACTGTGGATAAGGCACGGAACTCAATCGTCTAGCATCGTCACCCCCCCTTTCAATACATCATGTTAGGTATACGCCGCTTCTATTGCTTTGCTCGTTGTTAAAGGATTCCATGATCCTGTATCAAGTATGTTTTGGGAGGATCCCAGTACTTATGTCGTCTGACGATGCGTCGTTGTTGGCATATATATGATTTCAACGTTGCCTGTGTGGATATCAGGCTCTGCGAGACCGTCCACCAGCTCTTGCAGATATGAAAAACCCGTTTAGAAATGACCTGTTGCTACACCCTTCTTTCTCGAGCACGCCACCTGAGCTGATTCCCATTGCCAGTGTGGTTTGCTTCGACACAGTTTTCTGCGATATCTGTATGAGCGGCTGTCTTCCACGCGCCAGCCAAGATGGGATTTATCCTTGGAAAACTTACCGAGAGTCAAGTACATTCAGGGCAGAACCGACGTCCCCTCTGATTGCTTGTCTGACTTCTTGGCGGCCGCGATCTCTGGTTTCTTGATGCTGGCGGCTTTGACGGTGTGGGCTCTCGCGATGTGAGGCCCAGTGCCGCTGCGTCTGGACACCATCCTCTTCTTCTTGGGCGTGCTCGGAGCGCCGTAGTATGCTGGCGGTTTGAGCGGGACTTGTGCGGCCGTGATGCCGAGAACGAAGAGCAAAGCGAGAACGAGCACAGAGTGCTTCATGGTGTACGATTTTTTGGACGGTGGCGCAATGGTAGCAGAGAGGATGGGAAAACGTCATGGCCCGTCCGTCAATTCAAGTTCTTATATAGACACCTCCACTGTTCATCAGGGTAGAGACGCTAAAGGCGTGACAAGCCACAAGCAGATAATTATTTGAACTTTACCACCGCAACTTTAAATGGACCCTGTACGTGACTCACAAGAAGTGAAGCTTGTTCCATTATTATCAAACATTCTGCATCGTCTATTTAACCTCGCGCTGAAGCTGGCTACCGGAAAGCTACGTGGCCGGACCTCTTATCCCAGAGAGTCATGGAAAAGGAGGAAAAACGAGAATTCCATCGTGTAAGAAACCAAAACCTCGCTTTCAATGGCCCCTTTGCAGTAATGGCCGCAGGACAGGTCTTCCCCAGGCACCTGGTTGAGGGTGCTAGGGTGCTGTCTTGCAGTGGGGCCGTCGAGCCGGACCGCGCCGACAGTCCGCGTCGGAGTCTGAGTGGGTCCTTGTGAGGAACCGTGCACGGAACCGACCGACGCTACCCGGCCGCCACCCGGAGGAGTCGAAAGGGTATTTGATGCCCGGCGGACAGTGCCAGTGTTCATCATGCGGCATAAACACATCTTCGGTAGCACTGGATATGGCGATGCGTGTCGTAGATGTTGGAGTGCGACAGGTTGCCGTTGACTCGTGGCGCTCTATACAACTATCAGAACCCTGCAAAGACGCAGAGCAGGGTCGGGAATGACTTTAAATGACCACCATTACCATTTCAAAGGCTACCACTAATGGAGGTATTTAGTGGGGACGTCGGTCTTGGGTCCAGGATGATACCTGAAAGGAACGAGTACCCAGTCCTCAGCGATATCCCCCAGCGCTTCTTCATGTCAGTCGAACGGCTTATGCAAGGTGGCAACAGCTTAGTAGGGGAGGCCTCTATAGACACTTTCATCCGATATCAAATAAGGTTATGCTAGAAAAGGGCAATGCTGCACGTTGTATCGCAGGTCAACCAAAGTGGCAAGTGGTAACGAGTACTATAGCGGACGGCATGGTTGGTAACCATTTTGGCCTGATGCTGAGAGGACGCCTTAAGGCAGCGTGGTGGCCTGCATTTCCCAGGCTTAAAAGCCTTCCATGGTACTATCGTGTGCGTTTTTCTCCCAAATCAGCATGAGCATGGTTCTTCAGTTTGCATCAATCTTCTATTCATCCTTTTAGAGGTCAAGTATTAATCACAAGATGCCTTCCAACTTGGTGGGTCTTGTCAGAGACGTAGCTGTTGCTCTAAAACCAGCTTATCGCTCATCTCAATACTCGAAATTGTCTCTCGCCTTAGCCTGAGGGAGAAAACGGGTCAGTGGTGGCATTGCCCAGCAAGTCAGGGACCGTTCGGAGAGGCTGGTTCGTAGAGGGAGGAAGCTGCCGGGTGCTGGGGTTTCGATATTGGTGCCAAGACCGGCGCATCTTCGAGCTGAGAAGGAATGTTAGCAAATATTCTATCACGAGAGTGTTGAAGCATAGATTACATTTGGCCTGGAGTAAAAGTCAAGTTCTGAGTACTGTGGTCTTGTTAGCGTCATTTCTGCCCCCCCATCCTGCTTCTGGAAGTCAAATACCAAGCGGAGTACATCATGTAGTTACGGACTAGATCGACCCCGGGAAGGCCGGGGCATGTGTCTTTTCCCGCCACGCACTGTTGGTCACCTTTGAAGTCCGCCTGCGGTGTATCCGGGACCCCGTCTCCGTCCGGGTCGAGACAACCACCCTGGAATGGGTGCGTTAGCCCGAGCCAGTGGCCCACCTCGTGGATCGTCGTCTTCTCCGACAAGTAGTGCGTCATTGTGTGGTGGCTGAAAAGGACGCCGTCCAGGGCCAAGGAATTGCGGGTGTCCTTGGTCAGGATGTCGGGGAAGAGTGCGAATGCCAGGAGGCCGGGAGCCATCTTGGGCACGAGGTAGATGTTCAGCGTCTCGGCCCCGCCGGTGCGAAGGCGCCATGCCATCTTGAGCAACTTGTTCGAGACACGCGCACTGAATTCGAACTCCGCGAACTCAAGGTCGTAGATGCGGTAGGTATTGAAGGGCCCGAAGGAATATCCTAGGCTCGAGTATCCAAAGGCAAGATTCTCTTGAAGTCTGACAACAGGAGAAGTCTGGACGATTTTCTCGAGTCAGTTAAAGCCTATATAGACGTTCGGGTAGGTTGTGGATTTGATGTTAATACCATATTCAGTTTTGATTGGGTCTCTGGGTTCCCAAGGATGAAGACATTGACGGGGATGTTGATCGTGGCTTCTTGGTCGACCGAAGATTCGGAAGTCGCTCTCTCGAGTGCCTCAAGGTCGTCTGAGACGTTCAAATGAGCAGCGTACTCGCCGAAGGCGCACCAGCTCTGGCTCTGTTGGGGTTGCCTGTGAGGCGTCTCGTCGAGGATGTGGCCTCTGGAAGGGAGGGCCAGGGCAACGCTCGCCATCAACACCCCGCCCAGAAGACGTGCCCAAGTCCGATGACACATTTCGGACGACTTGGAGTTTCTGACTACAGTTGACGGAATAGCGGTCTGAAATTGACCTATTCAGAAGGAATAAAGACGTGGGTCTGTTCAAATGCAGGTTGGGCGATTCCAATATATTATATAGAATATTCACGTGGGTAAAGGTTAGGCAAAAAGTCTTGGGAGCGAAAGAGTTCTCGTTGAAATACTTGGTTAAGAAATAGTTTAAACTGTGGGAAACAACATAGAGGTCCTTGAGGCTCTTTGCCAATCCCTTCAAACCATGACTCCAAAAATACACAAGAAAATTTCCGGGCCCAACCCTTGCGGACAGTTTGGCGCACACCGCAGCCGTCGCGACTGAGGTATACGCATCATCAAGGGGGGAGCTGCGTTTGCTTCAAATCCATGGGTACTCAACAAGTCCTCCAGAATGTCGTTATTTGGTATATAAGATGACAAGTGGCGTGAGCGATGAGATGCTCACGAACGCTTTGGCCGATGAAGGAAACAGAACAATAGCCCGGCAGGCTGAAGTATTCAACTACCGATGTCGGCCGTGCTGAACGCGAACTCAGGTTCGCAAACTAACAAGCTAATGTGGAAGCGCCAGAAAAGAATTGCATTCGCGTGTGTGGGTATAAGAGCTAAAGACGTGTCGCAATAGGAGTCGTAACGTGGTCGCGGAGAATCAACAGAATGCCAATTCGTTGGTAATCAGGTACCGAGTAGAGCGTTGTAAGTTTATGCTCGTCGGCGAACCTGATCTAGGCCTTCTTCAAGAGGCGCCTGAGAAGACTCTTTTTGGGTGACGTGCCTGAAGCGGAGTATGTCAGCAAGCTTGGTCATCCATAGACAGGATCGGCAATGGACTGCTTACCATTAAGAGAACCCGAGGCATCGTTCTTCTCATTGGACATGACGGGGATGCCGTCCTTGTCAACGAGGGTTGCTTCCGAGGCCATCGCACCAACAGTCGGACGCGATGTCGGAGCAGGCTGGCGGGGCCGGCGAGGCATAACTGAAGTCTGCAAGTGGGGAACGATGAAAGCTGTCTCGTAGTATGCGCCGGACATCTTGTTGTCTATCTGGTCCCGGAGGATGGCCTTGAGGTGTTGCGTGGATTCGATGGAGCTCATGAGGAGACGTGAAGGAAGAGAGCTTGGAAACTTTGTGGGGAAGGTCAAATAAGCTTGTTTGTGATGATTGTATGGTTTGGCGTCGATAATGTCTAAATCTGGGGTTCACGAGGAGAGGAGAGGCCGCAGAAGGGCTTTCTTTATACATCTAGAACACCGAATCTGATTTCCGATCCGACTGCGGCTTCGGTATGCAAGTCCCATCTTGACTCACAGGCAGGTCCAGAAGCATGGCATCATGACGAAGGGCGCCTAGTGGATCGCGCTTCGGAAGCCCCATGGGACGGTTCAACCATGTTAGTTGGAGGGTAAGATTGGGGGACCATACATGAGCCTGTCACGCATTGTTAATAGAGACGCGGGCTGAAAGCTGCATCCTTGCCCTTGTAAAAGAGGCTTGTTCGGCCAGTCATTTCGGGTTAGACTCCGACAGCGGGTGACACAAGCTTAGTTCGGCGGGTTGGATTAGGAATACATAGAAAAATCTCATTAGTAACACAGCAACAAGATAGTGGGGTAACCGACACCGATGTGTATCCATATCCGAAGCCGACACCGCGTTTCCGAAGCCGAGGCCGAGCTTTCGGTCTCGAATCTCACTCCATCGATATTCAAGCCAACAATGGTCTTGGTCATTATTCGCGGCCCGCTTCCCGAACCTTCTGTTACGAGACGACACTACTGTCTTGCTTATCCGGGAGACGCTGACATTGACCCATCTCGATTGCCGAATGATGCCGCAGAATATGGAGTCGGCACAAATACCGCCTCGGCTTCTGCTCAGGAAGAACGGGCGGCCGCAGGCGTGTGAGCCGTGCCGGAAGCGCAAGGTCGCCTGCGACCACGCCCAGCCCATCTGCAACAGATGTAGAAAGTCGAAGCGCCCCGGTGAAGTGTGCGAGTACACCCTGGACGGCAGCCTGGTCCTGAGACAAACCCCGAAGCAGGCCCGGGCTAGGGAAAGCCGGCGCGGGTCGAGGACGCCTTCTGTACCACAAACGGCGCCGACGTTTCAACCCGCCGTGACGATCACAAAGCTCCCGCCGAGACCAGCGGCGGTCTCACGGACGGCATCGACGGCTACGACATCGCCGGTGACGTCTGCCGGGAGCCGCCCCCACGCGTCCGTTCCCGCCAGCCTCCCCACCAGCCCGGAGTCGGTCGGCACGGGGGCCACCCCGGCCGTCCTCGGCATTGGCTACCTCGGCTTCACCTCCTTCTGCGGCATCTACGAGGAAACCCGGTCCAGCCTGAACCGATTGCAGCCCTCCGGCGCGACCCCCATCGGCGAGATCGGCGCAACGGCCTCCTGCGGGCTCGAGTGCTCTCCACCTCTGACGAACCAGGCCCTGGAGACGTGCCTGACCATCCTCCGCCACGTCCCGGACCGGGAGACGGGGCTGAAGCTGTTTGAGACCCACGTCGGGCCTAGCGACGGCTGGATCCGCCTGGCCGCGAAGCGCATGATCACGTCGCTGTACGAGACGTTCCCGCAGTGCTTTTGCGCCCACGAAAGGCCGGACGACGCGCAGCTGGCCGTGCTCGCCCGGACCATATGCAGCAACACCGCAAAGTGCGTGTCCGAGGAGGAGTCGGACCCGGAAAAGTGGATCGCGCAGTTCACCGGCACGAACCTGCGATGGGAGTCGCTGGGCATCATGTTCGTATACTGGGAGCTGGCGGCCAGGTATCTCGGCCCCTACCGGCGCGACGTCCGTTCGCATCTCCAGCAGCCCCTGGACGAGGGGACGAGGGTCGTGATGCAGTACCGGTATTGCGTCGGCGCGAGCATCGAGCTGACCAAAGCCGCCGGCAGCGGGGGCAACACCCTGCTGCTCTTCATGTCTGCGAAGCGAACCACTATCGAGTCCGTCTTCTCGGGTGACGCAAGTGAGTGACTTCCGCCTCGGAGCGCCGCACCGCCGCACAGCGGGTGTATGGTATGACGAGAGAGAGAGAGAGAGAGAGAGAGAGAGAGAGAGAGAGAGAGAGAGAGAGAGAGAGAGAGAGAGAGAGAGAGAGAGAGAGAGAGAGAGAGAGAGAGAGAGAGGGAGAGAGAGAGAGAGAAAGCTAACGCCGCCCCGCCCCTTTTCTAGGTTTCGCCTGCTGGCAGCTGCACGCCGAGACTGTGGCCCTGTCGACGTTCCTCGGGTTTCACGACGAGGTTGCCGCGGAGCCGTACAAGCCAACCGTCTGCTCCGAGATCAAACGCAAGCTCTTCTGCTACATATTCTACCTGGACAAGGTGCTGGCCTCGTTCACCGGCAGGCCGCCCCTCATCAGCCGCCGGTACGCGCGCACGCCGCCGCCGCTGGACCTCAGGGACGAGTACCTGCTCGCGGACGAGGCCACTCTGGCCCGCCATGTGGCCAACCTCGACGAGAACGGGTGGAACACGGAGGGCGGCCTGTGCTCCGCCACCTTCGTCCGGGCCCGCGTCATGCTGGCGCACATTCGGGACGAGCTCTTCGAGATCGCCCTCGGCCACGGGCCGGTGACGCCTGTCGAAACACTTTTGTAGGCGCCCCCCCCCCCCCCCCCCTTCCCGTGAGACGAGAGAAAGAGAGAGAGATGGCACTTGCTCCACGTCGCCGCTCCGAGGAGACGATGCTGACATTGATTGGGGGGTTTGCTCTTAGGGAGATCAAGGAGAGACAGCTCAGGATGGTCGCCAACCTTCCCCAGATCCTCGTCTTTCAGGAAGAGGACGCCCAGGACAGGAAGCTCGAGGAGCCGCTGTTCTGCGTCAGGCTCATCGTGCACCTCGAACGCCTCCAAAACATGTTCTTCATAGAGCGCCTGCTTGCCAAGCGGGGCCACGACGACGGCGCGTTGCTCTCCGTCAGCTTCGAAATGGTGTCAAAGACGCTCCTGTTCTGGACGAACATGGACCGCCTCTCCTGCGCGCACAGCGATTTCGAATGGCTCGTAGGTGCCCCCCCTTCCCCCCCTTCCCCCCCTTCCCCCTCCTCTCATCAGACCATCTCAAACTACGAGACCGACACTGACACGATCTAGGTAATGGCCTACGCCGCCCCCGGCGGTGGGATACTCTGCCTCGAGCTCCTCAAGCCCACCCTCCACGGCGGCAACCACCCGCAGAACCCCAAGGTGACGCGGTCCAGCATCATCCAGAAGCTGAGCCTGCTCGTCGGCTTCCTCGACTGGGTCAGCCCCACGGCGCCCAACGGCGACCTCTGCGCCGACTGCAAGTGCGTCATCCAGCGCGTCCTCGACCAGGCCCTCAACGGCCCCGTGGCGTCGGCCTCGTCCGCCGTCGACGGCGGCTTCCCGGCGGCGCTGGACGCCATGGACTGGGACTTCTCCACGCAGCCCGACTTCAACTTTGACCTGCTCGACACGTACGACTGGCTGCGGCCCGAGGTACCCTCAAGCCAGCAGTCGTGAAGGGGGCGCTCGCAGCACGAAAAGAAAAGAAAAAGAAAAAGAAAAAGGAGAGGGCATACAACCCGATTTCTCCCGGCCCAGCCGGGCATCGTAATCACGCAGCTTTGACGGCATACCTGGCTTTTGTGTAGTTTATTATGACGGATAACGACTTACGAAACATGATTGATAGACGATCAGGCAACCAGTCGCCTCGGAACTTGGTCATGATCTGAATCGGGGCGGCCTCTTGCTCTATGCTTACCAGCTTCCGCTATTCCGTTATTGATTGTGCAGTCTCGTCAAGCATGGTGAGCAGTCGAACATTATGGCATGATTGGGGTCAACGCACTGCACACTGAAGCATTTGAATATACAACTACGGACCACTTTAAATGTGTCAGCAGAGATTCGTAGCTGGGTGATGTACACTGCACTTGATTTCACCAACAAGGTAGATGTCCAGCTGCCATTCTTGACGCCACCTCTCCTTGTTCACTAGACCCCGCAACCATCATCCGACCCCGATCCAAAAGACCCTTTGAAGCCCGTCGAGGGAAATTGGCCGGGAGCGCGCCTAGGCGGCCCACAAGGCAGAATCTGCACGAGGCTCGCTCATGCCGTCAATTGACTTAGAGCCGCAGCTGTATAGATAGATCCTCTAGTGACCACGCCGGCGAGGAACGACGACCTAGCTCACGCGAGATTCACTCTCGTCCGTCGTCGGAGTGCTTGCACAAAGCACAAACGCCCCCCAACCGCAACCCAGGGTAATTTGGCGGGAGTTCATGTTTGACCGTTGTCGATATCACTCAGGTTTCACGATAAGTAAGTCATTCACGGGTATAGCGGTGTTTTCAAAAGTCGATGAACTGCGATGCATGTTTCAGATGCCAGAACTGGTGGGGGGGCTAGTTTTGCCTCTTGGCCGATGTCGATGATGACATTGTATTGTGGGGGTGATGATCGTCATGTCGTTCAATGTTCTAGACCAACATCGACGGCTACAGTTACGCGCAGAGCTGGCATGCACGCCATAGACTGAGGCGGGGCAAAGCGAACGTCAGACTTACGGCTCTCAGTCTTGAGAGAGTTAGTCGCCTGTACGTATTGGTTTGTTGTCAAAGGGATGCGCACCAGATGTTCCAGTGTACCCCCTATGGGATGAAGGGCGAGGATATGTTCCTGTGGAAAAAGGATCATCGTTCGGCTGTGAGACAATATTAATTGTCTATCCGGAGCTGGAACCCCGAACTAAGATGGTGGCATAGGTGGGACGGGCCGGGTCCGGTCAATGGACGGACGTTGCCGATACTGGGCGGGCCTAGAATCCTCGGGGCGGACGTGAATGGGATTGGATGGGGTGTCGCTCGGCGGGGACAGGGCAGGTCGATGGTCAGAGATGCTAAATAAGCCTGGATCGTTGCCAAATTGTTGACTGGTGTGTCTGCGAGTGTGCAATGGATGTCTAACGACTGGTATGTTCCTCCCGTAATAACCATGCGTCAAAATCAAGGCGAAAGCTCGACTGTGGTCGCCGATACGAGTATTGCTCACGACAGCCTGACAACGCGGCTGGGTGCTGGACGGTGCCGGTCGCGCATGAAACCTTCATTACGCCAACGACACCTACGTTGCCGACAGTGAAACTCGCGACTGTAGTGCAACACCGGGCATCCGCAGGTCTGACGACGGTACGCTATCCAACTAGGAGACAAAACTTAAGCCGACAGACACATTGGGCATGGTGGGACCAAGGGCCCATCCATGGGTCAGGCGTGCACGGCGGGCACAAAACGTGGCGATTCGACAGAGCAAGGGCTGGAAATGGGTTCCGGAGATGCACCCCACGCAGGCGTCGGGGATGCCCATCGATGGGCGCGGTCTGAGCATCGAGCATCACATACACGCAGATCGAAGTTTGGGCCTGGCGCCATCGGCAGCTTGGTTCGCCACGGTTACCAGCAAAATCCAGCTGAGAAAAAACGTAATGTCCAGCATGTGCCGCGCCCGGGATGACGCCCTTATGTAAGCAGACGGCTTCTGAAGCTCTGATAGAGGATTATGGAGCTCTCCGTGCCGATCGAGTCTGCCTTGGCCAGGGGTTCGAGATGCAGCTCCAGAGCATAGGTACGTCTGCTCCACATAAGGCTGTCGGGATCAGAGTCGTGCTTGCTTGTTTCGGGCCATGGATGGTGGGCGATGCCGTATGGATGGCTTTGCTGAAGGAATTGGAGCTTGCATGGCGAGTTGAAGCATGCACACTGGGTAGTCGGCCAAGACCCAAGGCTCTGTTGGCGCTTCGGTGTTGTGCTTCATAGAATTTTGACGCGTCGATTCAAAGGCTGGCTGACTGGATAGTGGAGTGGCCGTCATGTCCTGAATGCATCGGCCGAGTGGGAGGGCGTGAAATCCGATGTGAGAAGTCCCGGGGCGGTGGCTGTGCCTAAAGAATTTCAATTATACGTTAACAAAACAATAGAGAAAAAACTAAAAAAAAACTAAAAAAAAAACTGACCCGAGAACAAAGCGGGAAGGTGGGCGGTTGGTTCGATGATTCATCATGTGTGTGTGTGTGGAAGAAGCCGCACTGCGCCCCAAGCTTTCAGCTTCGTTGCGACCTGCATTGACAGGCAGGAAAGTTTCTAAACATGTACTATTGGTTTATAGTACACCACAAGTAAATAGCCTTGGGACCCTGCCCCGCCGCGATTCGCAGATGCTGGACGTGATTGACCCGAATGCCTAACCATCGAAGGGTGCGCGGAGGTGGAAGAGAGAGACGTGATGGGAAGCGTGATGCATGGCAATTGAGAATCGAGAGGATATCCTGGAGGGAGCGGGGGGGCTCGGTCGCACTTTCCCATGCTCAAGGGGAAATGCAGTAAGTAGGTGGGGCCGTGCCTGCCTCCTACGTGCGTGGTCAGCTTCCTAGGCAGGTACGTACGATGTACATCCATCCACTCGGGCGACTCTTGACATGGAAGGAAAGCGACAACTGACAAGCGCGATGTACCTTACATGCCTGTTTGGGTAGGCAAGGTACCCAAGGTGGGCGGTGAAGGAAAGGAAAGACTAAGGGACAGCGGGGAGTACGTATCCGTCACTCGGCACTGCTCGGTGTGATCCGACTGGAGAGAGTGCCCCGCTTGTTTTATCCCGTCTGTATGAGCTCGATCTCGACAACCCCGAACCGTATCTCTGGATCTGAAAACGAACTTTCGATCTCCGTACGCACCTCTCCATCCTTCCCGCGCCGTCACCATCGCCGTGCAATCAATCACACGAGTGCCGTGCCGTGCTGATTTCCTTCCCTTCAGCTGAACCCCGTCGTCATGCTGTTTCCTGAACCCACCTTGCCTAGGCACGCTACCTACTGCGCACTGCTTGTACCGTACAGCTGCCGCATCTGTTCGGTTTCCGTCATTGGCCGTTCTCCCTCCCTGAAGATTCGCAGGCACTGTGAAACACTGCTACTATGTCGTACTGCCTGCCTACCTGGGTACTCACTTGCTTCTGTCAGCCACCCCGTCGCGGAGTACGTCCCGGAGCCCTCGACAAGCAGGCAAATGTGCTTGCTGCGCGGATATCCTTCAGCCATGCCATTCCAGATTGGGTGAGTACCGGGATATCATACTAAGCCATTACTCAGTAGGTAGGTAGGTAGTAGTAGGTAGCGCACAACATACATGTATATAGTACGTACCTTGGCAGGGGACGCTTCGAAGAAGGGGAGGGGTATTCTACCTTAGTTTACGTAGTGTCGTGTAGACCCAAAAAGGTGCTCGGGAAAATCTCAGGGTCCAATGCGCCATGGGTCGAGCGGGTACCAAGTACTTGTAAGTCGCCCACCCGGAAGGAGGCGTCATGATTTCTCCTGAGCCATCGGCAAAATATCCGCCCCTCGACGTTTGGAACCCCAAACCCTCGCCGTGCTGCCTTACGTTGCAACTTGGTCGAGGTCGATCCGTACACTACTGGTGGTCCGTCCGAACTTGCTGCAACTCAAACATTACATCCCGGCCAAACCTGCTCGCCGTGAACCTGCTCCACGTTGGAGCGGCCTGACCCTGCATCATCTCCTGGTCTTGCCTATAGACTGGCTTGCTTGCTTGGTCGGCTCTGCCGCGCTCCATTCGGCACACTCCCTTTCTTCCTTTGGAGCAGACCTTGGCTAATCGCCATACTTGCCCCGTCCTTTGACTACAAAGAGACGCCTCTTCCTATTCCCAGCCGACCCTATATTTTCCCATACTACCCCGATCCTCTAACCTAAAAGTCGATGCTTTCCGTCTTTGCAGCCTCATCGCCCAGACCACTTTACCCACCCTACTCAGTACATGCTCTGTGGCGACTCTGAGACTAGTCTAGTCTGCTTTCCCAGCTGACCGGGAACCAAGTCAGATCTAACGGCTTCTCTGACGCCATGACTTGGCCCGAGACTCTTACCAACACAATCTGGACTTAACCTGTACCCTTCGCCATCCAGTCTCGTCTGTCTGCCTGTTCCCACCCGCCCTTCTCTGCTCCGTCTTGGACCTGCCATCCGCGCCGATTCACCAACCTTTACATTGCCGGCAGTATCCTAAACGCGTAGACCACTACCTACATTCCCAAGCAGCACCAAGCATACCTATATCGACACTTGGCAACGAGCTTTCAATCACGTATAGCGCACATTGTTCTCACAATGACGGCTACAAATATTCTTGTATATCTACTCCGCCACGACCTACGCATCGCCGACAACCCCATCCTCCATCACCTGTCTACCGCTTCAGATCACGGCTTCACCCACGTGCTCCCGATTTACGTCTTTCCAGCACACCAGATCGAGATATCCGGCTTCCTCCGGGAAGGTTCCAAATCCCCATACCCTGAAGCTCGCAGCCAAATTGGAAAGTTTTGGCGATGTGGGCCTCACCGCACCAAGTTTGTCGCGCAGTCTGTCTGGAACCTGAAGGAGTCTCTTGAAAGCGTACAAAGCGGCCTGTCCCTCCGAGCAGGCAAGTTCGGCGACATCGTCGACGACCTCCTCCAAAGCTTTGCCGATAAAAAACAAAAGGTCGGTGCCGTTTGGATGACTGCTGAGGAATCCGTCGAAGAGAAGAGGGATGAAAAGGCCGTGTCCGCAGCATGTGAGAAGCACGGCGTCGCCTTCAAAACCTGGACGGACGAGAAATACTTCATTGACGAGTAAGTCCATTATCGTAAAGAAGTTTCCCCTGTGGTAGCATAGCTAATGTCGGCTACCCCTTTGCCAGTCGTGATCTCCAGCTCAAATCACCTAGCGAGCTGGCTGATGTGTTCACGGCCTTCAGAAAGACCCAAGAACCATTACGCGAGAAACCTAGGCCTACGCTGCCTCGTCCTAAAAAGGGATCTCTTCCACCTTACCCAGACCAATCCATCATCCCTCCCCAGCGAACGCCATTTCAAATTCCATCAACTTACGATGCGTTGGAGGCAGCCCTTCTCAAGCCCCTGAAAAGTCCCTTTACCGAAGAACCCAAGTTCCCCGAGAATGCTCAGTCGGTGCATCCATTCAAGGGCGGTGAAGGCTTAGCTATTGAGCGGCTCGAACATCTTATCAAGACGGGATCTATGTCAAGTTACAAGGATACCCGCAACGGAATGCTTGGCGTCGACTTTAGCACCAAGTTGTCGGCTTATTTGGCATTGGGATGTCTGACATCCCGACAGATACACGAGGCCCTGGTCAAGTACGAGGATGGGCAGGATGCTAGATTCAAAGAAACACCGGGGTATGGGAAGGGGGAGAATGACGGAACCAAGGCAGTTCGGTTCGAACTTCTCTGGCGCGATTACATGAGGTTGTGCACGATGAAGTTCGGAGCAAAGCTCTTCCGCGTTGCTGGCTTTAAGAATGATACAACGCCCAAGTGGAAGTCGGCCGATCCCGAAAATGTCGTCTCCGAAGACAACTTGGGAACCCCAGTCGAAGACGTCAAGAAGATCCTCCAGCGATTCCTCAACGGCACCACTGGCATGGGCTTGATTGATGCCTCCCAGCGAGAGCTATACCACACTGGCTACACTTCCAATCGGGCAAGGCAGAATGTTGCGTCTTTCTTGACCAAACATCTTGGTATCGACTGGCGATACGGTGCGGAATGGTACGAATATCTCCTTGTCGACTACGACGTCAATTCCAACTGGTCCAACTGGCAATATGTCGCTGGGGTTGGTAACGACCCTCGTGGAGACAATAGGATCTTCAACCCGGTGAAGCAGGCCTTCGACTACGACAAGTCCGGTGAGTACGTCAAGGCTTGGGTGGTCGAAACGCGTGAGGTTGAAAACCTCGAAAACGTCTTCCAACTTTGGACTACGCCCCAAGAAGAGCTGGAGCGTCTGGGTCTGAGCAAAAACATTCTAGTCACCGACCCCATCAAAAAGATCGACTTTTCAGTGGAAGGGAAGCCCAAGACTAGTCGTCGGCAGTACAACAATCGCAGGAGAGGAAGAGGCAACGGCAGCCAGAACGGGTCTACGGGGGGAGGCCCTCGGGCGCCACCATCTGCGACAGGAAGTTCCGCGGGAGGCCCTGCGGGACCGCAAAACGGCGGTGCCCCTGAACAAGCATCGTCAGGCCACTCATCCTCCAGGTCACCACCAAACGGACCCCAAGGATATCGTACCAACGGTGGCTATCGTGGCGATATGCGTGGTGGATATCGTGGTGGGCGAGGCGGGCGCGGTGGCGGCGGTTACCGCGGAGGACGTGGGAGCTTTGGTGGCAGAGGAGGAGGAGGAGGGTTCGCCAATTCGTACCATGTCCCGAACACACAGCCCAATGGTTACCCCAATGGCCAGATTCGGCCACAGTGGACAACCACGGCATCCGGCCCGACGATGTAGTCAACCCGTAAATTGGTAGCCAAGGTTATTCATAATACATATTAGTAGCGTTATCTCCTGCAAATATCTCGCTATCAAACCAGATGTTCAAAGTGTGTCCAAGTCCTATGGCGGACCGTGCTGAACTGAGGTCGACAGAACAAGTTATGCTACCTATCCATTCCCGTTTCTCGATGACGACTTTAATACCTGTACTGCTGCGTCGCCACCGTCGTGGCTTGGATGACCTGCGTCGTCGTGTCGCCAAAGTCCTGCAATATCCTGGCCCCTGTGACTGTAGCCAAGTCGGCTGGTTCTTGATCACCCTCGTCGTGGAGTATCCTTACAAGGCGTCCCATGGCATCTGCGACAGCCTTCTGGGGGTACTTGCTGAACGGGGCATTAGTTTCACCCTTTACCTGGAGCACGACTGCCTACGTAAAAAGCCCTTTTGAGAGTCCTGTAGTTCAAGTGACTGGAGGGGCAAAGTGTGGTGACTGTTGTTTCTCTAGTAAGGTGTAACCATATTGCGCAGTAACAGTGCGCAAATCGTAGGCTGCAGTCGTCTGGGCCATCAAGGACGCCTGACGCAAACAACATGCACTCTTCCTGAAACTTTGGTCGGCCTGTCTCCAGGTCTTTGTCGTCAAAGAGGGCCCAACCATTTGGCCTCGAGGGCGATCGCCGCCTGGGTCCTGGCGGTTGAGTTGGCTATGTCCAAAACTTTACGTGACATCAGGTCCACGATCCGATCATGGCATGGACTTTTACGACACTTCCAGTAGGTTGGCGAGACGAAGTCTTGCTTGTTGCCAAGGGGGAAACTCAAGGCTGTCCCCCGGTTCCTTAATGGTATATAGGCCTGGTGTGTTTGTGTGTGTTTGTGTGTGATGACTGGACAAGGATCGAGACGTCAAATCCTTTTACGTCAAGGATACTCAAGCAATGTTCCCCGACATTTCGAAGCGAGACGGCATCCACATCTCGGGGAGAATGTCGATCGCGTCGAGCCAAAGCGGAGCGGGGTTCAGGATTCTTTGTCAATGGCACTCGCTGGCCTCTCTTAATTTTACAATTCCACGTACGGACACAGCGCGTGCCCGCCGACTGGCGGAACTCCCCTTCTGTATTTACTCATCCTGGTAGCATCCCAAGGGGATTCAATAACCACCGGCAATCGCCTCCGTAACGCCATGTGATGCGACAAGACCCCACCCCACCTCCTTCTCTTTCCCCCTTACACTATCCAGCCCCCTTACCTGGACACAATGGTCCGCGGTACATGCCCCCCCCCCCCCCCCCTCCCCCAATCAGACTAGAACCTCTTCCCCAACGGCCTCCCAACGTCTCCCTTAGGCACGACGAACAGCCCTTTGGCTTCGAGAACGGTAGCGCCCTCCGGGTCCTCCATGCGGCCGACGACCCACATCTTGCGGTCCGACTTGTCCTCCTCGTCCGGGCGCTCCTTCTGGAACTCGGGCAGGGCCTTGGAGACGCGGACAATGTAGAGGATGCCGGGGGTGACGGGTATCTTGAAGTCGACCGCCAGCTTGGCCGTGACGGCCGTGTTGGCGGGGAAGTTGAGGGCGGCGAGGCGGCCCATGGACTCGTCCATGATGGTGGAGAGCATGCCGCCGTGGACGACCGAGGGCCAGCCCGAGGTGCCTTCGCCGAAAACGACGGCTAGGATCAGCTCGCCCGTGAACCGGTTGCGGAAGACGAGGTGGACGAGGCCCAGGCCGTTGGGGTTGTTGAGCGTGCCGCCGCAGAGGTGCCGCGCCAGCGTCTCTGGCGGGAAGTCGGAGTAGGGCTCCCAGTGCTCCCAGTCCGTGGGCGCGGGCAAGCCGGTGGCGGGGTTGAGGGTCGGGATCATGGATTGGAGAATGGGGTAATCTTCGATGGCATGGGAAGTGGCGTCGGCGCGATACATACGGATCATGTCCGGGTCGTCGACCTCAACGGGCGGGTACGTGAAGGGGTAAACGAAGCGCACGTTCGATAGCTGGCTGTCGGTGATCTTGTAGCCAAGGGCGAAGAAGAAGAGTGCCCAGAGGGCGCGGCGGAGGCGGACCGAGCGGCGGGACGGCGGCGGCGGCGACGTCGAGAGGAGGGCCGTGATCTGCGCGGGGGTGAGGTGGGAGAGGTTCGAGAGCGCCGTGTTCGCGGCGGCGGCCTGCTGGGCAGAGGACGGGTTCGGGGGGATCGGGGGCATTGACGACGGCGGCGGCGGCGGCGTCCGGGCCTTCAGGCGGGACGTGGGCGTTGACGCGAAGGGGCGCATGGTCGCGGGGGAGAAGAAGGGGGCCAGCGGTCGCGACGGGCGGTGGGATGAGAGGTCCCGTAGGACGCGGCGCGCCGTTGATCTGGGTATCATCTCGGCGGTTTCGCCCGTCGGCGTTCTACCGGATTGTGCGAGGTTCGAAGGCTACGCGCGACGAGGCTCAATTGGGTTCGGCGCGACGGCGAGATGTCGACGTGGTGGAAGTCGTTCAAATTTGGGTGGAGTTCGGATCGGCTCTCGGTGAAGAGTTTCCGCCGGTGGGATCGGTGAAAGTTCGCCCGGAGCTTTGGCCACATCCCCCTTGACAAGCGCGCACGAGCCACGCGCTTACGTAGCTCAGTAGCTTTGGAGGTTATGATGTCACTGCCACGATTTCACACACCAACGAATCGATTCACCAATCTTGCATCGGGAAATAGAAGGTGATCTAAATAAATTGTGGTCGCAACGCTTTATTTCATAGAACTTTCATCATGTGGACGCCATGCTGTCTATGGCAATGCCTATAGAAAAATGCCACTCGGGCGAGCAAGTGAGGAGACTGAACGGAGGAAAATGGGATGGCGAGAGCAATCCAGCTAGGGTAGCCTACAAACGCCACGGGTCAATTCAAGCTAACCCGGCTAGGCGGCCATCAACGTGCTCCAAGCGACCCAAATACGTCTTGACTTGGGAACCGTAGCCCGTCCACTACCGTCCGCCGCCGCGGCGCCGCCGTCACGCATCAGAACCCGGCCGATCTCCATGTAGCTCTCAACGGCAACGATCATGGCGCCGCGCGCCTCTGATGGAATCCACTTCATAGAGTCTCTGGCCTCGCCGTAGTGCTCGAAGGCCTTGGCAAGGATTCTGCGGCGCACCTTCCCGACGCCCTCGCTATTGGGGCTCTTGAGGACATCCTCCGGCGTCAGACCCTCCTCCTTGAGCCAGGTGGTGGGGAGGTAGACGCGACCGATCTTTGCATCTACGGCGATATCACGAGAGATGTTGACGAACTGCAGCGCGAGACCCATCTGGCGCGCCGTGTTGCGGAGGTACGCCTTCATGTAATCAGGCAGGCCGTGTTGGCAGTGGGAGAAGACGAGCTCGAGGCAGGCCTGGCCCACGGTGCTGGCGACGCGGGCGGCGTAGAGCTCGAGGTCCTCGGGGTCGGCGATAGGGAAGGCAGAGTTACTGAAGCTAAGGTCCATTCCGAAGCCCTTGAGGAGCTCCGCGAGGGGCTCGCGCGGGAGGAGGGAGGTCGGAAGCATATCTAGTGCTGAGAGAGCAGATGGGGGGAAGTTTTCGGCGGCGTACTTGGAGGCAAGGGGCGCCGAGGTCGCGTCGGGATCTTTGTAGAGTAGGCTGAGGTGACGGTCAAGCTTGGAGATCCAGGCGGCTGCCTCTTCCGGGGTTGCTGCATCGTCTACAAGGTCGTCCGCCAGGCGACAATAAGAATAACTAGCATCTCTTGTCAGCAAGGCTCGCGGACAATCGCGGTGGCGGGGGCTTACAGAAGGGTCAAATCAATACGTAGACGGCCAGGGAAAACGGAACTGGCGAGATGGAAGCTGCGGCTCTTTTTGGCCAGTCTGGCGGCAGCTTGTCGGATGCCCAAGATGCGCTGCATGTCGTACTTTGAGGAGGGAAAGACGCGGGCGCGCAGCAAAGACATGGCCAAGGCATCGGCCGGCTTGTCAAACTTTTCGGGGAAAGCATCACAGACGGCAACGGCCTTGTCAAAGGCGGCAATGCCAAAGACAATGAGCATGTTGGTGACCAGGAAGAAGGTGGCCTCCTCGATTTCGAGACTACCAAAGAGCTGGAGCTCCAGCTTTGTACCGCTCTCAATGGCCCAGGTGCCGCGGCCTAGGGCCATCTCGTCGACGATCCAGAGGTACACTGTGGGCAGGAGGATGGGAAGGACAGTGCATGCCAACGGCAAAGCCAGGAGGAAATGGGCGGTGATTGTCCAGGTGAAGAGGGCAAAGGTGCATGCCCAGACCAGGATCAGGCCTAGGTAAGTACCCTCGCCCTCCTTGGCGATGAGCCAGGTGCCCAGAAGGACGCTGCCGAAGAGAGCAAGCTGGCCGACGAGCTTTCCACTCCTGATCCATTGCGGCAGGGTCGCAGGCGAATTAAGGTACTGCGCATGGAGCACGGGTTTGTTAAGGATGATGTAGAGCTGAGCGGTGATGTAGGTCTGAATGATGAAGAAGAAGAGCTCCTCGACAGGGATGTCATAAAGGGTCGGGCCCAGGACTGCGTCAGGAGGGTAAGTCCAAACGCTGGTTCGAATAAGGTATGAGTCCCAGGGGATTGTGGCGACGAAGGCGATTGTGACAATGAAAAGGGTTCTCACGACATCCAGGCGCGTGAAGACGGGATATGAGAAGACGGTGAGCAGTGCAGCCAAAGGGATGGTGTACTTGACATGCCTGGCAGAGATTAGTGAGTATGGAAAGTTGTGAGAGAAAGAGAGAAGCACTTACACCAGCGCGTAGTCGTAGCCCATTGCGAGAGTTTTGCCTCCTACGGACAAACCAAAAAGCCAAGAGAGTTCACAACGATGAGCAGAATCCCATTGAGGGCGAAAAACAAGATGGTGAAGCTGCTGTGTGGTGTTTTGAGAGAAAAGAATGAGTTGTCTTCTAGCGGCAGCGGCCGTGCATTCGTCCGTTCTTTCCGTGACCTACTACCGGTATCTGTCTAAGCCGGGTGGGAAGGTACGTTCCAGACGGCAAAGCTGGTTTCTTCCTGCCTGCCTGCCTGCCAGGGGCGCTAACGTCTCATTCAAAGGTGGCACCTCAGGGCGTGTAAGGTGAGAATCCAAGGCCTATGTACCGGAAGGGATGTATGTACTGCGATACCCGTTGGGAGTCGACGCAAATATGACGAGTCACCTTCTTATCAGCGTGTGAGTGTGCAAAGTGAAGCGACCCAGTGTAAAAAAAAAGAACCAACGCAATGGCGCTGTAAGACAAACCGACTGGTTTGCTGCCTGTTGTCCTGGGCCTTTTTATTTGCCTTGCCTTGCCGTAGGTACGACGGAGGGTGGTTCAGCAAGGCACATCACATGCGAATCACGCAAAAACGTTGGATGGGATGGGGAAAAAAAAAGAAAAAAAAAAGGGGATACACAGTTGGCGTTCGGCTAGTTCTCCGTAGGAAGAGCTGTAAATTGTCCCGAATCAAGGGAATGTGGTATTCGGACTAGTGTTTTTGTTGTCTTGCGGAGTTTTCCTCCGCCTGGCGCTTGCATTTTTGTTCCTCACTGCTCACTGCTCACTTCTCGGAGCTCGGACTTTTGGACAGTCGGGAAATCCCAGAGGTTCTACCGGTACACCACACAGGTAAGGCGAGAAGCATACGTCAAGCCCAGGCACGAGAGGTGCATGCATTAGAGGAGGGGGAGGCCATGGTGGCGCTTATCTGTACAGTACCTAGAGCTTCTTTCCCGTTTCGGCCATGGAGCGGGGGCGCGTGGTACATGGAAAGTAGGGGGGGAAAGGGGGAAAACAAAGGTACCCAGGGAGGGATGAGTTGGGATGGAATTGTCGAGGATTAAGGTGCAGCAGCTTCCATGAAAGCATGCAACATAACATGTAACATGCAGCTTGCACGAACTACAAGACGGTGGCTGCACGCCCTACTATGTGCCACCCGCCGGCGTAGCTGGTTGGCCGATGCCCGAGGGGGGATAAAAGTCTATGACGACCACATGAGCGTCCGTCCAAACATGGGATTTTGTATTCGAATACGGTACGCCAGCCCAGAGCCGGACTTTGATCCGACCAGGGATTCCGAGAGGAGGCGGCGGGGCTGCCACTAATATGTCTGTACACCTGTGGTTGGGATGGAAATGGACCTGCACCACGCCCGTCCAGCTCACCTACTTGTTGATTGCTTTTCTTCGGGACCACGGAAGAGGAATGTACCAAGGTTGTATGTCATGCTGATTCCTGCTCCTCGGGTGGAATGTTTCCCAGGCGAGTTGGTCGTATTATCTGATTAGACTGATACATGGTGATTCATCACAACAATTCATGTCTTCCCCCCCCCCTTTCCTTTCCTTTTTTTCACCACCATCTACAGAGAACAGTGAAAAGCAAAAATCCGGCCACGAGATATACGAATGTCCGAGTCCGCAACCTTACGCTTCTATTGTGAGCTTACCCGATGGAGCTAATGAACCATCCGGCTGCGACGCATTCCGTCCGTGTACCATGCACCTGTATGTCAAGCTTTTCTGCGTACGTGGAAAAACTCCAGCTCCACGCGCCGGTCCCTTGCTTCCGTAGTGTAATACATTACGCCGCCATTTTGATACCCATCTCTTACCCCAACAGATTTCAAGTGACTTTTGCCCCCTTCTTGAATGCATGGGTAACGATTGGTGTGCACCCATCTGCCAATCTTCCAACGCTCACTTGCCGGGAGCCTCCTCCGAGTCGAGGTGTCATCATTCACCCGTGCCAGCCGGTGCGGAGCTCCTCTTCCTGCGATTCTCACGCCCCCGCCTCGCCCCCTCCCCCCCCCTGGCACCCGCTGCTCCGTTACTTTTATATACCGTTTGGCATGCGAGCGGAGCTCGGCTGGCTGTCACTCTTCACATGCTTGTTAGAATGACGGGGTCATTGTCGAGTATGAATGTGAATTGAGACTCTCCTACCTCTGCGTTCCCCCTTCCCTTCGTTCTCAGGTCTTGCTCATATGTCGAGTTTGGTGAGAATCTCGTTGGGCAATCCATCTTATCGGTATAATCTCCACGACGATCGCATCTTGTCCTCCCCTCCCCAATACCCAGCTCTGCCGTCTTAGTGAATTCATACCTCGCCTCACGACATACGATGTCCCAACTCGGCGAGAAGCCCAAGACGGCCATCGTCGTCGGCGCCGGCGCCGGCGGCGTGGCCCTCGCCGCCCGTCTCGCAAAGGCCGGCTTCGCCGTCACCGTCCTCGAGAAGAACTCCTTCACGGGCGGCCGGTGCTCCCTCATGTTTCAGGACGGCCACCGCTTCGACCAGGGGCCCTCGCTCTTCCTCCTGCCTCAGCTCTTCCATGAGACCTTCAAGGACCTCGGCACCACCCTCGCCGACGCCGGCGTCGACCTGCTGCGCTGCGAAACCAACTACAACATCTGGTTCCACGACGGCGAGCTCTTCAGGCACTCGTCCGACCTCGCCGCCATGAAGACCCAGATCGAGCGCTGGGAGGGCAAGGACGGCTTCGAGCGCTACCTCAAGTGGCTGAGGGAGGCCCACACCCACTACGAGATCTCGGTGAAGGACGTGCTGCACCGGAACTTCAGCAAGTTCATGGATCTGGCCCGCCCCGGCTTCGTGAGGCACGTCGTGAACCTGCACCCGCTCGAGAGCATCTGGAGCCGCGCGAGCAGGTATTTCTGGACAGAGAGGTTGAGGAGGGTCTTCACGTTCGCCGTCATGTACATGGGCATGTCGCCCTTTGACGCACCGGCCACCTACTCCCTCCTTCAGTACACCGAGTTCGCCGAGGGAATCTGGTATCCCAAGGGCGGCTTCCACCAGGTCGTGGCGGCCCTGGTGCGCATCGGCGAGAAGATGGGCGTCAAGTACCGCCTCAGCACGCCAGTATCCCGCGTCCTGACGGACGGCCAAAGGGCGACGGGCGTCGAGCTGGAGTCGGGCGAGTCCCTCTCGGCCGACGTCGTCGTGGTGAACGCCGACCTGGTCTACGCCTACGGCAACCTCCTCCCCAAGACGCCGACCATCACAGACTACACAAAGTCCCTCCGCAAGCGCGAGGCCAGCTGCAGCTCCATCTCCTTCTACTGGTGCATGGACCGGAAGATCCCCGAGCTCTCCGTCCACAACATCTTCCTCGCCGAGGAGTACCGCGAGTCCTTCGACGCCATCTTCAAGCGCCACTCCCTCCCTGACCAGCCCAGCTTCTACGTCAACGTCCCCAGCCGGGTCGACCCCTCGGCCGCCCCCGAGGGCAAGGACACCGTCATCGTCCTCGTCCCCGTCGGCCACCTCGCTGAGTCCAAGGGCGAGTCCGGGCTGACGACCGACCCGAAGCACTGGGACGACATCGTCGCTCGCGCCCGCGCCGCCGTCATCGAGACCGTCAGCGCAAGGACGGGCTGCGCGCCGCTGAGCGACTTCATCACCCACGAGACCGTCAACACGCCCCTGACGTGGGAGGACAAGTTCAACCTCGACAAGGGCGCCATCCTGGGCCTGACGCACGGGATCTTCAACGTCCTCGCCTTCCGCCCGCGGACCCGCGCCGAAGGCCTCGAGGACGCCTACTTCGTCGGCGCCAGCACCCACCCCGGCACCGGCGTGCCCATCGTCATGGCCGGCGCCAAGATCACCGCCGAGCAGATCCTCGATGACCGCGGCCTGCAGGTGCCGTGGGCCAGGGGGTTCGACGGCATCCTGAAGCCGCAGAGCCAGTCGCCAGGTAACAAGAAGCTGGACAACGTGCGTTACGGCTACCATTTCGGGTCAGAGGAGGTCGCCGTTCTTTCTGTCGGGCTTGTGCTGGCCCTTATCTACTTTTATTTCTGGCCTACCCTGCAGCCATTGTTTTGCTAGGTTAATGATATATTGGTGAAATGATTATGGTATGGAAGGACCTTCTTGATTAATATAGACTCACTTTTTCGATTCACTACAACGTCATATGTGCCTTGTCCGGACACTTTAAAGCCAATTCGAAACACTCGTCACATAGATAGGCAACACGCCCCCGCTGACAACGCCTCCTCGGCCCATACAGAGTATCGAAAGCATCACGATCCTGCCCACAGTGAACAGATTCGACATAGAGTACTTCAATGGCGGCGCTTTCATGAATGAGATGGTCAAGTCAATCCGGTATGCTTTTCTAGGAGCTTCACCATCTCTGAATTGCCTATTCGACGCGCCCACTGTTGCAAGGCCCGCCCGGAGCCGTCTTGCGCTTGAGTTTCGACACCCGAAGCCTCATGGGCGAGCAATATCTCCGCTACTTTTAAGTGGCCGCTCTTGACAGCAACGGATAACGGGTTTGAGCCGTACTGATTTCTTGTTGACAAGGAGGTTCGGCCATCATCCAACAATAGCTGCACTACAGCATGGTTCCCGGATTCAGATGCTACAAACAGAGGTGTGCGGTAATAATGTTCTAGGCTATTGACGTTGATGTCCGGGGTTTGCAGGAGCAGCTTAACCACCTCGATGTGGCCCCAAGCTAATGCCTCATGCATTGGCGTCTATCTAAATTGATCTGCAATAGTAGCGTCAGCCCTGTACTTGAGGAGTAGCTTAACTACCTCAGTGTAGCCTCGAACTGATGCAAAATGCAATGATGTCTGTCCATCTCGATTTGCGGCATTAACATCAGCCCCGTTTTCGAGGAGCAGCTTAACCACCTTGATGTGGCCTTTAGCTAATGCCTTATGCATTGGCGTCCATCTAAATTGATCTGCAATAGTAGCGTCAGCCCCGTTTTCGAGGAGAAGCTGCACAACCTCCTTATGGCCCATAAAAGATCCAATTCGAAGTGCTGTCCAGCCGTTCCCGTCGGCGTTGACGTCAGCGTCGTTGTCAAGAAGCAGCTGCACGATATGTTGGTGGCCACGAGATGCCGCTCCTGCGATTGCTGTTCCCCAGTTTCCGCCTACAGTATCAAGGTTGCAGGAGAGCGATTTGTCTTCCACAGTTGGAGAACCATGTCTCTTGTTCTCTTTCAGAAGAGCGCGCAGTGTAGAGTATAATCCGAGTAGTGACGCGTAATATAAGGGGTTTGGCGTTTCCCCATTCCTTTTCCTGCCATATACATCACCACCATACTGGATAGTAATCCAAGCCTGAAACGCGGGTCCTTCGAGAAATAGTCGCTTGGCTTGTGATTCAGCCAACCCTTCTTGGGCGCACCCCTGGTAGTGGTGATGCCAGTGTTGGGCAGCGTATTTCGCAAACGGATATTGACCTCGGACGAGCGAAGGCTCCATAGTGGAAACTTTCGGTTCCAATAGCAGCGTTAGACATGTAATGGCCATCAATTCATTGCTTTCCCGTCTCTGGACGCTGAAGAACGAGGCCTCCTTTTGGGTGCGAATCCGCTCCGACTCGAGATATTCCTGAACAGAAAAGTGGGCAATACGCACGCTGACTGTCTCCAAGTCACGATGCCCATCGATTTCCGTAAAGCCCGGACATAATTGTTGAAAGTCGTCGACGCCCTCAAGTTTACGCTTCGCATCGAAGCTGGCCGTGGCGGCGCCAACCTCGACGGCCATGGCATCGATGAGCTCCGGAACAGTCAACGGCCTTACGGCACAACAGAGAATCGCCAGCATCTGTCGAGCATATTCCTTGGATTCCATTGGGATGTTTCGGAGCATGCGTTCGTAGGTCTCATCCAACGTCCGTGGCAGTGATTGGAGTAGTTGCTCGAGGTGATACTCGCTTCTTAGGCAACTGGCCAGCGCTTTCAATTGACATTCCGCCCACCGAAACCTGTGGTGATGTTAGCGAATGTGAAGTTGGTTGATGACGGGGACCTTGCACTCCATTCGCCTTCTCGATCAGCACCTGCTCTATTCTGTCATAGTGTTTTTGCCACTTTTGGAGACGTCGATTATCTCGGAGGCGTTGCGAAACGAAACTCGCTATGTCCTTGTCTATGCCGTCGTTCTTCATGACCACGACCTCTTCTGGCATAGCTCCAAGCGCGTCACGGATGTCGACTTCGTCCCGACTCGTTACGAGAATGTGCAGCCCTGGCTCTGGCCAAGCGCGGATGTCGTTCAGTGCTTGAAGCATCGCATCTCGATGTTTTTCCCGCGGGCTCTCATCCAGCGCATCAATCACGATGTATATATCCAGGAAACCACGAACAAGCTGGCGGAGGCACTCTAGAAAGGCCTGATCTGATGGCGTGACGGTGCGATATCTTTCGTACAATTGTGCGAGAGCGGTGTTTGTGACGCCGAGCTGGCTTGACAGCTGCAGCAGGAGCGCCCGTATCATCGCAGAGGTATCTTGTTTGCCCTCGTCCGCGAAGGTGAAGGAAAAGAAGGCAATGCCTACTTTTGGGTTGGACCTTCGATGTCGAAAGACATGCTGGATCGCTGTGGAGCATAAGACGGATTTCCCACACCCGGCGAACCCCTTCAGCCAAAGGAAGGATCTGGGACGCTCGAGCCAGGAGATGAAGAAAGGGCTCTTGATGAACCACAAACCAGTGCCCGGGTTCTTCTTCTTACAAGCATCGTTGAAGTCGATGGAAGCATCGGGTGCCTTGAGCCAAATTTGGATCTCGGAGGAGAGCTGAGAAGCCCTGACCAAGTCCAGGACCGCTCTCGTATCCTCGATCTCATCCTGGATGCGGTTGGTAACGTCTTGCTGTAAGAGCTGCAGAGCCAGTGACAGATGGATGACTAGCTCATCAATGTCTTCGTCCAACTTCTTTAGCGTACTTTCCCGGAAAGGGTACGCGAGTCGGCGGCCTGTGGCTCGAATAGCGGTCCGAATACCATCCACCGGCTCACGTTCAAATTTTCGAGATTCCTCTTGGAGTTCCTGGATGCACTCTTCGCACTGCTTGATGGTAGACTCAATGTTATCGAGCACATGCGTTCCGTCGACCTCGACCTTGCGGCCATCGAGGTGGGTTTGTAGGCAGTTGAGTATCTCCAGCAAGCTCTCCAGTTTGCGCGCCGTGTGGGTGACGTCTGAGTATTGGGTATCGATAGCAGCGTAGTAGTTGTACAGTGATTGCGTTACCTGGAGACCTAAGGATATGATCCCCACAACACTCCCGGTCACAGATAAAGGATCTGACATGGTTGTTCGCAGCAGCAAAAGCTAGAGAATGCGTCGTTTGAGGATAGTTCGTCGAAAGAGACGAGAACACCGACATATCGATAAAGAGGGGTAAGATGCACGTGGTGATAAGAGCGGCCTATATGGATGGCCAGCTCTGTTCCAACTACCTACATGCTGCGCCTGTTGGTGCAGGCGGCCGTACCGTACCCACCGTGTAGTGCCGACTTAGCCACCAGGCTGGGTGCAAATACGGTACTTCGCCTTGACGAGTACCGGCGCCCCATGCTGATGCGAATTTGCACAATCAGGCAGGCATAGAGATCTGGAAGCAACCTCGGCTCTCGGCGTCAACGCGATTGAAGTATAGGTAGAAGAAGTCGCTGGCGGATATTTTGTCGGGTCCGGTCTCCGCTCCGGATCGGCTTGGGGACCCATAATAAAGAAATAGAGTCCTCGACGGTGGTTTCTGTACTTGGAACGAGACAGCATAAATCAGTGCGCGGACAAGAACAACGTGAGCGAACAGCAACATGGTCATTGCCGCATCGGTTGCGGCTTTCCGTCGTACAAGCTAAGCGCGGGGATACCTCGATTTTTCGCTGGGCTCGACTCATACTTTGAACTTCCAGAAAGGTGCAGCAAAAGCATCGGGTTGCAGAGTACATCTCCCCACAATACGCCCGGCAAGTGCTCCTGTCCCTGCCATTCATCGACGCCTCCATCCGACACCGGGATGGTCAGCCTCAAGCAAGCCCTATTTGCGGCACACCCTGGGCGAAGCCCTGTTACTCGTGTTGGTGAATACCGCCTTGCCGTCTCGTGCCGGCGTACAATTCTCACCGACATGCCCCTTCTCCCCTCTCGTGACTATCATGCTTCGCACAGCTGTGAAAAAGCAGAAAGCCGCTTCCACCCCGCGAAGTTCATCAGAAAAATACCCGCTCATCGCTGCCCTCCCCTAGCCTGTGCCGCCGCGTCGCGGTTGATCGCCTCCTCCCCGAGGACCTTGCTCGCGGCCATGAACCTGTCAACCGACGTCAGCGGACAATAATAGTAACAATAACCAATAATCTCCAATTACCCAACTCCCCCCTCGGCAAAGTAGGAACAGGAATACTCACATTCCCCCGTGCCACGCGCCGAGGCCCCGCATGCTCTCGGCCTGCACGCTCGTCATACGAACCAGGTTCTCCGTGTCGGCAAGGTTAGCCGACAGCTGGGCGAGCTGCGAATGAAGCTGCATCTGAGGAACGGTTTTGAGTCGCATGTCAGCAAAGATACAACCACCCTTTCAGGGCACCGGGAGGGGAGAGTCACCAATTGCCGCGCCTTCGTCGCGTTGCCTGAGCTGGAAGACATGGACGGCCTCGCCGTGTGTGTCATGTTGATGTTGCGCGAGGCCATCCTGTTGCTCTCTCTCTCTCTCGTGTCCTTTCTTCAGAGAGGGAAGAGATGAAAAGAGTAGATAATCTATCGTGAGATGTCAGTTTGGGGTTCCTAGGATCCCTGTGGCTTCCGCCGACAGGGAACATGTGAAGAGGAGAGGCAGAAGAGGGCTGTGTGTGAAAGGCGGAGGACCACTCACTTGCCAAACTGTGTGGTGTCCACGTGAGCAAAGCAGCAGAGGGGGAATGTAATGGTAAAAAACAGAGCCTCAACTCTGCCGATATTTCTCAACCTCTCCCTCTCTCTCACTGTCTTTCTTTTATAAAACAGTTATTCATGCGGTTGCCAGCTGGGCTCGGTATCGTCAGCCCAGGCAGGATTTCCTTCTTTCCTTTAATTTTCGGGCTCCGTTACCAACATGTCCCGTCTGTTCGAATTCACGCGGTGGGCTTTTCCCCTCCCTCTTCCTCTTTTTGTTATTGTTGTTGTTGCTTGGATTGTCGTTGGCGGAAGTGGGGTTCCGCCAAAGGTAAACAAGAATGATGGACGTCTGATTCGCCCGGGCATCGTCAGCGCGTGGCAGCTGGCAGCTGCCAACCAAGAGCCACCTGGGAGTTGGGAGGGGAGGAGGCGAGAGTCTGTGCGAGACCTCTACCACCGGATTCCGGAAACCCACCCCCACCTGCCGTTACTAACATACGGAATAAGTTTGCGGGAACAGACGTCAGGTCAGGCAGGTATGTCGGATGACACCTGCAGCCATCAGCTATCGTATGAGCCGAGACATGCGTTGCCCCCCTCCCCACGTTCAAGACACTTTCCGCCTCCCGGCACGGTACTGTCAAAGGAGGATCTCCAAGTCGCCTGACTTGTATGCCTGTTTCCTTGCGCCGGCCATCGTTTCCCTGAGTTATCAGAATATCCACGTAATGGTGGTCTATCAGAGTTGACTGACTGAACGTGCCTTCCAACCATCCATCAATCATCATTACTCCCCTGCCCAGCGCCGCTGGGACGGCGTCGCTCACACACACACACACACATATATACACACACACACACACGAGGGCTTGGCTGAGTCAAAGAAAGGGGTTTAGGATCGGGATCAATCGGTTTGACTGGACTGATATCATGCCAGTGTCTCATCAGTTGCGCCCAATCAAGCACCAGGCAAGCCTGACGCGAGCTGAGGCCGGCACAACGGGCCGCGAGGCTGCTCTCAGAATGCTCAAAGCCTGTGTGTCACATCCCAGCCACCCGGCGCTGCTTATTCTGAAGCCAAACTCTCGCCTGATGGATGGTAAGGGGCTCCCAGCCACTTCCACTTTGGAACCGAAAAAGTCACAAGTTTCAAAATCGAGTTTTGTATGCGCGTCTGACTTCCATTGCGTTCAATTGAACGCCCTAAGGGGCTGCCTACTTGCCTATCCCTTCCAACTTTTACTCGTTTCTCTTCTCCTCAACCCCGTCCAGGCCGCTCCTTGCGGCCCTTCACCCGTCGCCAGGAAACTAAAAATTATCGAAAGCCAAAATTCCCTGTCTGAAGAAACACTTCTGCGGTCTGAGCATGAGCCTTTGTTGTCGTCCACGACCATGCAGTAACCTTGCCCATCTTTGTATTGCCGGATTAGTCTCCTCCGGCTCCTGTCTATGCTCGTTACTTGAAATCCCTTCAACGTGGCCGTTCTTGTGACTCGGCCCAAAATAAAAATATTGTTCGGTCGTAAAGGAAAGGCACAAAAGAAAAGAAAAAAAAAGAAGGAAAAGGCCGTGCTAGGCGATCCACTTTTATACACATCCAACTTCCAGCTTCGCCGAATATGGCCAAGGAACGTTGAATACCCACGCCTACCGTCCAAATATGACGGAGCCCTGTGCCATAGACATGCCCGAGCGAACCGAGATGCCAATCTTTCGGCAAAATCGTCTACTTTCCAACCCCGGCTGTGGGTTCTCTTATCGGGAGAGAAAACAGAGGTCGCCCAAGTCAATGCTGCTATTACCAGAAGTCGAGAAGAATCTGCTCTCATCGCTACGATGCCGTATGTATTTACTGGACCAACGTCCAATCGGATAGAAAGGATGGGGGGGAAAAAGGGGGAAAGGAAAAGTCGTTGAATTAGCTGTGTGTTGTCGAAAATAGGTCAACCCCTGTCTAACGTTTCATTTCGTAATCGTGTTGCCGCGGAACGATATGTGAGGAATCCATATGGAATCGTCTTCTGGGAACCCAGGATTGCGTCGTGACATTCGTGGGCTGCCCTAACGTGTCGGGAGGACTGGTTCTCGTGCTTGTCCTCGTTTCGATCCGAAATCGGCTATCGCGGGTCGATGCCGTTCCGTATCGCCGGCGGTGCCATCGTCATTGCAACGTAGCGATTGCAGCAATCCCGATGACGGAGTTTACCGCACCCCTATGGGCGGCCTTTGCCCGAGGCTGCTCTGGCTGCTGTGGGCCGAGGGCTCCGTATCGTTCTGGGATTCACCACTAGCCGCGCTGGCGCTCGCACTACCAGTCAGACTTCTCATATTCTTCTGTTTGGGTGGAGAAACAAGACCGCTCACCCCGATGTGCTGCTCAACCTGCTGTGGCGCAACTGCGTTACCATGGCCGGGAGGGTATCGGGGCACGGGTTGACGCATGCCGTCAGGAGGTGATGGACGGCCGTTCATGGGAGGGCCGTGGTAGCCATTGGGCGGCGACGGTCGGCCGCCGCCACCTCGAATCGAAGGACTGTACGGGTTTCCGGGGGACTGGCTAGCTCGCCGCGGGAATGCCCCATTCATGCCCATGGCCATAGGGCCAGCGCCCATCTGCATTTCGTCCATCCGCGAAGCAGTCAGAGAGTTCGCTCTCGAGCCCGCCTGCATCGCGCCACGGTCAACAGCGCCATATCGGTTCGACGAGTAAGAGAAAAGGGGATCGTCCAAGATGTTTTCGTTCGCGACAGGGATACTAGCAATCTGGCTCGATCGATTGCGCCCAAAGTTGGGGCGGAACCGAGGGGTCTTGGTCACGGGCGCTCCTCCGGCGTCGTATATTTCGTTCTTGTGATACTGGGCACGCGTGGGCGGCGGCGCTGCTTTCCGGTTCTTCCTCGACGTGACGCTCATCATGTCGAAGTTGTCGGGGTCAATCATTGGAGGGGGAGGGCCGGAATGCGGGTCGAAATAATCATCGTCGTCATCCTCCTCATCGAATACCTGCGCACTGTTGCGCATTGGGTGCGGACCTCTCCTAGCTCCCGAGGGCGGCGGCGGACCCCTCGATCTCATCCGCATCTCTCGCTCCCTCATCGCCAGCTCCCGTTGGCGCAATTCCAGTTCCCGTTCTCGAATCGCCAAATCGGAACTCTCAGGGCCATGGGCATAGCCAGGCTCATCGCCTTCAGGAATATCGTCGTAGAGCATAAGATGTGAAAACTCTTCCAGGTCATTCCCTTCCAAAGAACCACGTCTCGAGGCCGCCCGGGACCCAGGGGGGGGAGGGCCACGAGGATGACCGTTAGGCGGGCCGCCATTCATTGGCGGCCGGCGCATGCCGGGCCCGGGTCCTGGGCCGAGGTTGGACGAGGTCCGCGGGCGCGCTCCCCGGTTGGGAGGCATGCCGTTGCCGTTCATGCCTGGTCGAACGCCATTGGCAGATGACATTCTCGGAAGGCCTGTCGGCGAGCTAGGAGGACCCATTGCGACATCGGCAGGCTTGGGAGGTTTTTGACGGTTGACAATATTCAGGTTATGCAGGATGGCGTAAAGAGTTTCGATGCGAGGAACAGGAACGCGGGCCTCCTTAGCCAACTTTATCGGGGAGCCTAAATACGTCTCAACTTCCATCGGTCGTTTCGCAATGTAATCCTGCCACATGATGCTCTCTGGGTTTGTAGGCTTCGTCATGTCGTCGATCGTCTTCTGTTTGAAGTCGGGCGATAACTTGCACCCATGTGCATCCGCCAAGGCTAGCAACTCGTCGATTACGCCGGTCACCAAGTCTCGTACTCCAATCTTTTCGAGTAGTTGTGCATGGCTCGCCGTCTCGAATATGACGCTGGCGGGGTGGAATGCGATGGGCCTGGTCCAAGTCAGTCATGTTTCCAGGCTAGAGAGGCACACGTGGTTCACTCACCCAATGACCCGCTCGTATTGCTGCTGGCGGATATTCTGGGAAACCTTGCAGTCGACTTGAGCAGTATTCAGTGTCATGGCAAGCGCCTCGGCCATGTCGCCCTGGATGGAACTTGGAATGTTATCATTCTTGCTCGAAGGCCCAACCCAGATCTCGGTTGAGCCCTTGTGCTCGAATTCGCTCTGGCCAAGCTGAGAGAGTTCGGCGTTGGAAACCAAGGAGAGGACAACGTTGGTAGGAAACCGCTCTTCGATGGCAGCCTCGACGCCAAGGGTGTGAGTTGTGTTGATGAGGATACACGTGTGCTGAGGCGTAACTACGGCATCGATTACAGCAGCGAGGTCGTAGACATCGGGGAGGGCCTTGATGCAAAGAATCACGTAGTCGAAGGGACCGCCGCCTTGCGCGGCTTCCTCGGGAACGCGTACGACTGAAAGGCATACAAGTTAGCAAGAGCACTCCCAATCATTGTCAGATAACGCGAACAGACTTACCATGCCGCGGCTTAAACCGTTCATTACCGAACACAGGAGACCTGAGGATTTCTTGGTTAGAGGCGGGAAGGCGAGTTGCTGGGAAGGGAGTGGCAGCGTACTTGAAAGATATGCCGTATTGCGCGACGTGATCGAATCCCGATTTCCAAACCAGTGTAACGTCGCAAGCATTGGTCGCTTGTAATCTCCACGACAGGAAGGCCGAAACTGGGTTTCCTCCAACTACACAAGTTTTCATTAGTCCGCTGTCGTCCGCCATACCGGAATGCAGTCGGTGCGATGCAAGAGCACCGGTCCGTGTATGGAGTGAGAGGGAGGGAGAGAGATAGAGAGAGATGGGGTAGGGGGGAAAGAGAGGGGAGGAAAACGAGTATGGTCTATGATGGGAAAGGTATGATGGGGGAGAAAAGCCGGGCTAACGGATAGAGATAAAGGAACACAAAACCCCGATCCACACCGTCGCTGATGCAAGAAGAGGAAGAAGAAGAAGAAGCAATTATTGGAGCGGGCGGGAAGCCTGGAAGCCTGGAAGAAAAGAGACGCACCTGAGAGGATCTTGAGCCGGGGCGTCATGGGTGCCATGATGGGCCCAATTGTGGATTAGTGGTGGGCTGGCCGAGTGATCCGCCTGCTGTACCCTCTGTACACCTCTGGCTGTCACAACCACGCAGATGGCCCAGGGCCTTGCACAACAACGCGACTGGAAACAGCCGCCGTCAGTGGCTTCGTGCAATGGTGCCGCTTAAAATTGTAGCGACCCGAATATGTGTATTGCGCGAGTGCACCTCGCTGGCGTTGCTTCTGCCTTCTTTGCTTTTCTTCGACACTGTTCCAAGTCACCTACTTGGCGGCAGCAGGTAGGCAGGTGGGCGTGTCTGTGGGTGCGTTCGGCGTCAGACCCCCATTCGATGCTGACAAGCGTATCGGGGGCGGGTTTGGGACGACGAGGAAATGAAGCGATTCGGCGACGGGTGGGCTCCTTTCTTCCCTTTCTCTAGGCCTGGTGGCGCAAGGTCGGGCACCTGAGGCTTCTCTTGACGCAGCAGATTTGACAAATGTGACGCCTGGAATCGCTAGTTGAGTCGCGGCGGGTGAGCGGTCGAGCTGAAGTGGGCTAATTGGTAAGCCCTGGGGAAACGACAAGACGATGCAGGAGCAAGCAGTAACAGCGGTAACAGGAGGCAGCAGTTCCAAGCCGATGCAACGAATGACCAAGTGATGCGAGGTACTTTGCGAAGGCTTGTCGGAAAGGAATTCGCAATCAGGTTCAGTCTATGTAACGAATGGATTGGCTGACCAAGGTGATGTGTTTCGCAGGCCGGTCGTCCTCGGTGAACAGCAATGGGGGGGTGTGAGAGAGGGCGTGATCGTCAAACGAGATGACGAGTTTTAGGATTACAAGAAAAAAAAGGAGACAGGTTGGGATGTGTTGTCTGATGTTCTGTAGGACAAACACAGTTTCGCTCGTGGGAAAAACAAAAGAGATCGGGGGAAGAGGGTAAAGGGAGGCGGATGATAGAGGGATAGATAGTAAGCCAAAGTGGTGGGGAGCGGCAATGGCTGGAGGAGGCATCTAAAAGTAGGCAAGGTAGGGTCAAGGTAGGTAGGTACCAAGTACCGGTAGCAGATCCGGTACCTCAGGCAGTACGATGTGGTATGGTGTGCGGAGAGGAGGCGTGTGGTGTGGTGAGAGAGAGAGAGAGAGAGAGAGAGAGAGAGAGAGAGAGAGAGAGAGAGAGAGAGAGAGAGAGAGAGAGAGAGAGAGAGAGAGAGAGAGAGAGAGAGAGAGAGGTGTGGTGTGTTTGACTTGACTCCTCTGCGGTTGCCAGCTGGTCCAAGTCCGCAGGCAGGTAAGATGCAAGGTATTGATTAGGCAACAGGATGAGGGTAAGAAAAAGGGAAGGAAGGATACGAGACGGAGACAGTTGGGATGAGATGGGACGGACGGGGGGAGAAGAGTAGATAGAACGACGCAGTAACAGCCGGAGCATGTACCGTATCCAACAATGGCCGTGTGCTGTGGTGAATTTGGGGAACGGGGTGGTGGGCGGCGGCTGCAGAAGGCAGGAGAGCTTGGAAAGGAAAGGAAGGGACAGACAGGGGTGATGGACGGATGGCGGGCGTGGAGCGCGAATGTACACTAGCAACCCAAGGTACTTAGTGTACACAGATAGGCGCCAGCAAAGGGGGAGGACCTCACAAAAAGTCCCTGAGACAGCCGGCACCCAAATAGAATGGAACACATGGAGAGCAAAAGGCTCGCCTCTAGCTGTTTAGGTGTTCCGTGAGGAGGGATGGATCACGACGGGTTGAATGGGATGGAACGGGCAATTAGACACATACACTGGGGTGGACAGCAGCGCGGGAGAGGGAGTGACAGAGAGGAGCGTTGGGAGATGGGAGGGGATGGATGGGATGAGATGCTGTATCCCGTACGGATACTGGCGATACGATGGGGTGGGATGGGATGGCAAGGCAATCGGGCCCAAAGTGGGTTTGCCCGTGATTTGGATTGATTGGATTAAAATCACATTTACTTCCTCGAATGCCGGTTATTATTGTTGCCTGTTGCCAACTGACAGGCACTCCCTCTGCTGCTGCTGTTGCTGCCGCCGCCGCCGCCGCCGCCGCCTGTTGGCAACCCCTATTCATCTGTCGGCCGGCGTAGTCATGCTGTGTTGTTCAACGGGCAATGGAGGGAGAAGAAAAAGGAAGAAAGAAATTGTTTGCTTAGACCGAACTGTCTTCATTTTTCTCCTGCCTAGGGAGTGTCGATAATACACACGAATTACCTATTGCATCCATAGCACTACCAGAAGATGCAATGTACATAGTACTTCTTCTCACTTCCGTACGGTACAGAGGTACACAAACGGTGCTGGTTTTGTGGGTCCCTTTTTGTTTTCTGGCAGGTACGAATATCCGACCTATAGGTAGATACTCAACTCAACCCTACCCTTCGCCAGGGGAGCCCTTTTATGTACCCATAACTCTCGAACTCTCTCGCCATTCTACCTACCTACCGTACTACATTCATAAGGACCCCTTCCCTGTCCAACATTTCCTGAACAAGCAAGCGCCCAAGATAAGTGAGCTACTGTGTTTGCACTTGCACATGCTTAGGTAGTGCGTCCTGCCTGGCCCCTCGAGCGATTTGCTAGTGCCTTGGACAGACATTGCAAGCGCGTGGGACCAACACCACTGGCGTAGCGTGTGCGGGATCGTCCTCCACTTTGGGCCGGGGTTTGAAGTGCTGACGGATCGGCTACGTCCTTGTCTAGCTATTATCCGGACTGGGCTGCATGGAATTGGGAAAAAGGCAGATGAGTTTTTGCATCGGGCAATAAGGAATTGCACACCCCCCGCTCCTTTAGCGATGCCTTACGGGCCGAATGTCGACATAGTGGGAATTTACATGCTAATTAGGCAACGGAAAAGGAAGGAAAGCTGACGAGGAGAGAGACGCTGTCAAAAAGGAGGACACCGATAGGTAGTCTACATCGATAGCCAGCGGTGTGGATTGAAATGGACGCGATTGCAGGTTTGGCCATTGCCATTTCTGCCACGCATCCATGATTGCGAGGAACAAGCCTGGCGGGCACAGGAAAACGCCAATGCGCTCGCTTCAGGGCGTCTTTTGGACGTGATGCAATGCAGGTGCAGCGCAAGAGCCGGGCAAAAAAGGCGGACGAGTCGGAAGATGGTGTCCCCACCCCTTTGAAGAAAGAAAAAGAAGGAAAAAAAAAAAGGTAAAGCCAAAGCCCAACGCTGCTGTGCTCCGTAAACTGATTTAGGGACGACATAGGGTACAGCGGCGACCCCCCGGACTGCTGCAGCTAACTCAGCCAACGCAAGGAGGACTTAAAGAAGCATGCGTCCCATGCCTTGAAACGCGGGTACACAGCTCTCAGCGTCGGCAGTCTCCGCGTAGTATCCCTAGCTCGACCTCCGAGAGTACATAATAGGGCGGGCATGCCTGCCCACCTGGCAAGCGTCGTTATGCCGCCTCATGTTGTGTGTTGTCACCCACGTCGCAGCATAGCGTCAATAACTCCCTCCTCCGAATGGGTGATGATCTCTCAGCCTTTGTCCCGGAGGTCCGAGCAAGAAGAACAACACGAACACCAACCTCCGAGATAACGTCGCTCCCGAACGGCGATTTCCCATGTCTCGCGTTTTCCTCAACGGCGGGGCCAACTTTGAATCCCGTACAACGGCTGGTTTGTGTCTACCAAAAAAAGAAAGAAAAAAAAAAAAAAACAGCCTACAACTCTTCTCAGACGACAATGGAACCTGTTGATCCATCCCATCCTACTGGCCAATGGTTGCCCGCAGGACACCGCCTCCGAGCCTTGCATAGTAGTGTGCTTGTCACAGTATATGGAGCGTTCAGGGGTTGAAAAGAAGCCGTATTCCGTTGTGGGACACACACGTCAATTTTAATGTCGTCGTCGATTGCTGTGGCTGAGTCCTGTCTAGCGTGGAGCCGCGAGCCCGTAACCATCTGGTTGGATTCTTAGGTAGTAGTGAGAAAGGGATGCTGGTCGAGGGGGTGTACTTGTACACCAACTAGAGAGGGGTCGCCCAACTATGTAGAGCACCCCGTATCCATGCAGACTTGTCAGACTGATGATCTCTATACAAGTTCCGGAGACAGCGGGAAAAGGAAGACGCCGGTACGTACCGGCAACCCAGACACTTTTGCCTCGCATACCAGAGTGCCGCCAGTGCCAGTGTCGCTGCGAATCGACAAACGGCAGGGACGGGTGGTCAACTCGTAGGGACGGGACCGTTAACAAGACTGGCGGACCGAAGTGGCTCTGACTCGGCATAGAACAGCCAGCCATTGGAACAGTGCCTACATACACGACGGTCAACCGTCGTGCGATTTGTGTAGGTTTGTGTCATCGCGGCCGCGGGGTCAACAGAGCGATGGCGCGTCAGGAGTCGTAAGTCAGCATAGCATGCATGTCAGGGTTTCAAGGAGGGGAGAGTGAGTGCGAGAAGAGGAGAAATGATCAGAAGGATGGTCAAGATGGAAGACGGCAGAAGCAAAAGACATGGTTGAGATAGATGATTGCCAATCGAGGCCAAACAGCTCGCGGGGAAAGCGCACCTGCCCCTCCACTTGCTGCCTCTATCTACAAGGCGTAGAAAAAGGAGATACCCTCGCAGAAGGGAAGGTGCATCGAAAACGTGGCTGCCTGCCTATCTTGGGCCAAGGTACTCCGTACCTCATACCTATCTACCGTACCTAGGTAGAGGTAGGTACGTACCTGCCCAAACAGCAGAAAGGTAACCTTTGGATTACCGGTAATGAACCTGAGGTGCTTCAGAAAACGGACGAACTGGGAAGGCATTCAATTCAGATCTCTCGGCTGCTTTGGGGAAGGGAGAAAGCTTCCAACGAACAGGAAGCAGGGCTCTTTCCGTCCGAACCACCGGTGACTCTGGCGACGTTGGTGACTTACTGCTCAGTGTTCACGGGCAATCACGACTATCTGTCGCGGATGTTGGGTGTTGCAGCGTGCCTCAGCACTG